TGTATCACGTCGTGCGAGAGCGGTATTCGATCATACTCCGTGGTCGAATATCTCCGGGGCGACCCGATATGTTTTGCAAAAGTTCTTTCCGCCCATGGTTCCGTCGAAGTTCATCATTCCCCGGCGGGCAGAAACGGCAATGCGGTATTTAGAGACCCCGCCTGCATGTGTAGTATGTGTGTGTGTCTTGTTTTTCATGTACACCTATTGGCGGTGAGGAGAGCTAATTTTACACACTATTCCACAGAAACATACTTTATCGGCGGGAACAATACTACATGATGACTGGACATGCTTACTCTTTCATCTCATTATCGATTTTCCTTCTTTGTTTGAGCCGGGGTTCGTTCGTAGTTCGTTCATTCTTCTGTTCGGGTAGATCGACGGCAGACCATCCCTTCGAGCATTTGCCTGAACAGTCATCGTTGACCTAAGATATCGGTTATCGCATTACATGCATTTCACGGTATGCCGTACGAGTTTTGAGTGATCATCGCTCGTCAAGTACTCTTGTTCGTTTGATTCTCCCACCCCCGTGTTGTGACCGAAAACATTCCTTGGCCCGGAACCCGCACCACTGACGTCACTGCAGCCAACGCCTGAATCGGGCCTGTTGCGCGCCATCCACACGCTATCCCGAACAGCGCATGTGCCCCCTGTAGTGCTTCTGAGGCGACTGCACATACCGCCCTACAGCACGCCTGTGCAAACGGTATCCCGACACGCCTTACCTATCGCCGATCGGACATGCTACACGTGGGCACCCTTAACAAACGCTTGTTCGCCCTTGCCGAGAATGCCCCCCCCCCTTGGCTAGTGTCACCAACCGCGCTTCATAAACCCTCGCCACCTCCTCCCCTGCTGCCATCCTCGTGTCTTGCCGTATGATCCTGCATTAATGTCCACTCAGGCGGTTAAGCTCCAGTTTCAGCAGCAGCAGGTGTGGTCGGGGCAACGGGAACAGCCCTGCCCACAGCACGATGTTGGCACTGGCGAGTCCGTTCCTACAATTTATGATTTCCTCAGGGAAGCCCAAGCCAACGCTCTCTTCTACACTGGCATGGTGATCGCCATCATGCCGGAGGTCTCCTCACGGCCGCCCAATATTTTGAAGAGGTCGTCCAAGTCGTGGGGACGAGTGGCGGCGGTCAACAAGGTCCTGACGAACGAGGAGGGAGGGGTGCGGGAGCCGGGGACCACGGCGATTGGGTGATGATCAAAGCACCCAGTGAGGGGAAGCCGGCTATACGGGTCGAGCGATCACGGGTGGCGAAGTCCACCGCGTTCGAGGAAGCCGCCATGGAGGCATGGGGCGCGGGGGGGACTAAGGTGTGTGAGTGGCATTGGTCTTTTACCCGCCTTTCGTGCTCGTTGCATAGATGCACCTACGCTAACAATTTAGCCCCACGGACTGGGGGTTGCCTACCCGCGGTGCGATTCCAGACTCCACCCAGTCGCGCTATGGAAGACGTCTGAGGTATCGCCGAAGCCGGGAGTGAATGCCCCGATGTTCGGCCGACGTTGCCTGCAAGAGAATGGCTTCAAGCGCTGGGTTGTGCTGTCTGGTGCACCATGAATTGTGCGCCTGCGCCAATGTGATTCTAACGCTTGATCGTTTGTTTCCTCTTCTGGCATTCAAAGCGAACGCCCTCGCCAAGCTCTCCACGGCGGCATTCCTGGAAACACGGGGTTCCTCCCGTGAGCCTGCTCCTGCAAATAAAGGCCGTGCAACACTAGGTTAAAAGACATACAGAAAAAAACAAGAGCGTCGCGAAAAATTCATTAGACAGCTTGGCGTGTGAGACACGGCAAGAGTGTTGGTGGACAAAACGGTGTAGAACAAACAACAAAGGTTGGTTAACGGCTCAGATACAAAGCCAAGTGATGCTACAGCAAGGTTGACCGGGAGTGGTACGCCTTGACGGTGTTTTTGACAACCACGTCGAGACACTCTTTGGCGCAGTTGCGTGTACATGTGGAGTCGCCGTGTGCTGAGACCAAGGACACAGATGGCTTGACACAACATAAGCAGCTGTATCCACGCCAACTCAGATCGGACCGAGGGGGCATGACAGACAGGTCAATATGCTCCATCAAGACATGCGAGACAAGCCACAATAGCAACACGTATGCCAAGTGAACCGTACGCCTGTAACGGAAGCATACCTGGGGTCACGGGCGGGGCCGGTGAAGTGGGCGACACTGCCGTCGCTTGTGTCTCCGTCGGTTGAAGCGGTACTGCCATCTCCAATCGAACCAACCTCTTGCTGAAGGCCATCCCGACGTGCTGCTTGTACTGAACTTGCTTGGCCTCGGGAGTGTTGGAAGTCCATGGACACCGCAGGTTGAAGAAGATGGATACGCAACGTATTGGGCCGATGGAACGTCTGGGAACACGAGCAACACATAGACAAAACTGACACAATACTCGGAATCATGACGGCCAATCAGCGCTGAAACAACCGTTCGGCAAATTTCGACGTTGTTCTATCACCTCTTACTGACACTAATTTACGTAGATTCAAATAAACATTGCGCGCAGGACCCACTGACTTTGAGGAATCCAACTTATCCACGTAGAGGCGGAAGGGTGGCGATTGTCCATATCATTCTCTAGAAACGATCTCCAATATTGCACACCGGGTTCCCTAGTGTGTGCAGTGGACCCATTCACCACTGCAACCAACCTGGCAGGCTATTCGGAAAGTTGAGTGGGTACGGTAAGCAGCGGTATTAAGATCTGCTTAGGCATTACCAAAACGATCGTCACTCTGACCCTGCGTATTCCTCCCGCAACCTTTGCTTCACCCATGCCTCGCGAGGGAGACGGCAAACAAGGTCGAACGTCGACATGACGGAGGTTCGGATTCTGGCCATGAATGGGTCATTCGCTCCTGGGGGACCCCTGAATTTGTACGAACTGCTATAATTCGTACAAATTCACGGGTCCCCAGGAGCCAATGACCCATTCATGATCTGAACCCGAATCTCTGGCAAACAAGGTCGAACGTCAACATGACGGAGGTTCGGATTCAGCCCATGAATGGGTCATTCGTTCCTGGGAACCCGTGAATTTGCGTGAATTTGTACGAACTAT